GAAAAATGGAACAGAGAATGAAGAGGAGTTCTCAAATGAGAAACTCTTCTCACTTTTTAGAACTCATTTAACATATGTCCATATTTGATTGGCTTAATGTCTTATTAACAATTTAAAATTTAAATAAATGATGAAAATAATTTTAATAATACATTTGAGAGATTCATAGAGTTTTTATGCATTAAGGATGCTCTATATTTTACATAGTTCAAATTTTTAATATTAATTTAATTGATATGATTAATTTCTATAAAAAATTGTAATATTAAATTGGTTAGAAATGCTTAAGATTATCTCAATGAGAGACTATGGATGGTGGAATTCTCAATGTTTTAAATGGTTAAATTTTTAAAAAATTCAAGTTTCTAAGATTAGTTTGAATTGTTATCTAAAAAGTGTACATATTTATGAAAAAATGCAGCCACACAATATTATTTAGGAAGAAAAATAGAAATGCTTTTTTGTCTCATCGAAGAATGGCCCATCAAATTCGAGTGTCAGTTCTCATTTTTCACGCCATTACCCTGCCTCTTCCTCCATATCCAAATAGATTAATCTTAGAGATAATTTGGTAAATCGTAATGGGGACAATTTTTAAGGAAATGGCAAATTCATTAGTTGTGTTACTAATATCAAACGTAAAATTACACTATAGTCTATAATATTAAGCTTTAAAAAAAATGTTCATGGAAACAGTTATGTATAGAATATGATGGAATCATACGAAGAAAAAGGTGGTCAAACATATACAGACAATAATACAGTCAATATATTTTGCTTTAAATTTTCTTCAAAGAAGACAAAAACAAATACAATAAATAAAATAAAGAGAAGCGAAGGTACAAAAATATTCAGAAAGATACGAACAAAAAGGAAATTAGAGATCCTTATAGGGGACAAGATGACATGAGCTAACTTTGAAACTCAAACATTTTCTCGATATATTATTCTTTCATTAAGATTCTACAAACACCTTCTCTTCACTGTCTTACATCGTACCTTCACTTTAGGCTATCTATGGTCTCTTAGGCGGTTCTTAAAATATAAAATTATTAAAACACACTCTCTCTCTTCTTTTTACTCAACTTTATACCTTCTCTTTCATACTTTTATTCAACTTTTATTAATTTTATATTTAAACACATTTAAAAACCCTCTCCAAAAGTTTCTTAATATACAACTTAAACATACCATCTCTCTACTATCTCCTCTTTTTACTCAAATTTTATTAATTTTATATTTCAATACACCCCATTATTTCAACCAAAAACACTCTCTTTCTTCCTTTTACTCAAATTTTAATAATTTTATATTTTAAGAACTCCCTAATATATCCCCAATAAAGATGCCCTTATATACACCAATTTATGCTTCCATAATCCAC